ATCATTTTAACCAAGTGATCAATGTTGTCGTCACTGGGGACACCAACACGGCTTACTCTGTGGTACTCTTCTTCAAAAGCCCGCCACTTCAGAATGAGAAAAATGTCAGACATGGCCAAATGGAAAGATTGCCTACAAAATGCTTGGACAGCAATCCTCAAAACTGTAAAGGTAATGAAAAACTAGGAAAGGCTAAGGAACAGTGAGTGCCAAACTAGAGGAGACTAAGGGGATGTGACAACTAAACACATGGGGATATTCTGAAACCCAAAAAAAAAGGCTCTTTGTGAAAAATACCAGTGAGAATTGAATCAATTTTGTACTGTAGTTAATACTAAGGTACCAATGCTAATTTCTAGTTTTGACAAGTGTAGCCTGGTCTCATCATTACAAGACATTGAGCAAATAAAATATTCCCTCTCTTTTTTTACTCTTCAACATTTCTATACAATAAAACTTTATTTCTAAAAAGTTAAAATTCCGAAACGTATCAACAAGTTGCACTGAGTTACATTTTTAGCAGTTTGAAAATTGTGTTTTTCCAGAGGAGATTTAGGGGACTGAGATGTTCCCAAAACATGGCAAGATTATGCTAAGGAAAGAGCCAAGCAACACAGACAGCACCCTGGGCCTTCTGGACGTCAGGCCCACCAAGGCAAAGTACCTACAGGTTTATGCCAGGACCAGCCCTCCATGGGACACAAAGCACATAGCTTTCTGTTAGAGAAATTTATAAACAAAGCCTTGTGTAGAAAAGCAGTGTGTTTTTAAGTCGAGTAGATGTGAGTTTGCCTCCCAACTCATCCAGTTAGCAGCTACAGACAAGTCAGTTAGCTCATACCCTCTCTGAATTTTGGTTCTTCTCTATAATAAAGATGGTAATATTTACCTCAAGACTGTGTGATGCCAAAGGAAAATAACCAGCCCGTTCCCTAGCAAATAATGTCATCTAATTGATGTCATTTTTCTTTTCTTCCTTGGTGATTTCTTCTCACAAGCACTCCTTTCAATAAAATCATGAGGCACCTGAAGTCTTATTAGTCACAGTCTGAAAATCTAGGATGAACTGAGTTTCTGCTTCTACAGAAAAGTAACCAGTTCCGCATGACTTGAGTCTCTGGGAAGGAGGAATAAAGATGAAAGGTCCTCTAAAAACACACAGAAGTCAAAGATGTAGATGAGTCAGTGGGAGTTAGAAGTGATCTTTGAGCAACACCATTATATATAACTCTTGATACATGTTTTTGAGATCATCATAAACATAATCATTGTCCCAACCATGAAAGCAGCAAACTTTAGACAAATAATTTTTCTATATTTAAAATAGGTCAGAAATGTTGTCAAAAAAATCAAGTATGTACCTCTATTTATTTTTTTTTGTTTGTTTTTTTTTTTTTTTTTTTGGTTTTTTTTTGGTTTTTCTCCGGTACCGGGAACCGA